TGGCACTTTGATACAGTTAATAGTGGAAATACAAATTAGCAAAGCCTTTCTAGAAGGCAATCAGTAATATTTATGAAGAACCTCAAAAATATTTATTTTCCTTGACTAAGAAATGAACAGAAATTTCTGAAGAGAAATAATCAAGGATTATGTATAAATGTTTTCATAAGGAAAATCCACAGAAGCATTAGTTATCATTTAAGTGGTTTACAATTATAATTTGAAAACCCAGAAGTCAAGATGTGGGGAATATGAGAGTACCAGCATATGAAAGAATGCTCTGCATCTATTTAAAACACTTTAAAAGAGCATTTCAGGACATGGGGAAATAGTCACAATTTTTTAAAAGATAAGATATTCTAAATATATCTAACTCTTAAAACACATACACTACACACTTTTGACAACAAAAAGCTTTAGCCGAATCTTGTCTTCTAGTTTAAAGGTGTCAGTGTGGGCACATGTGCTCATCTCCTCTCCCTCCTAAGAAGTTAAATAAATTTTTCTAAAGAAATTTAAAAATAACTTTTTAATTTAAAATATTTATTAAAAAGACCAGGTGGATTGCCCATGGCTCTGAAAGATGAAAACGATGGAAGAACGTGAACTGAGTAAGCAGAGTGGAGGGAGCAGAGAGCAGAATACTCACAGAGGAGCTGCAGCGAAGGAGGAAGGCTAATCTTCTGGGCAGAACCCCAGAGAGGCGCCAGTTCAGTGACCGTCGTACGAGGAAGGTCAGTAGTGAGAAGTGGGACTGAAAACATCTGTCATAGCAAGAAGTCAACAGAGAATGTCTAAAGTTGATAAACCAAAAAATAAACACTATAAATATATTATTTAGAAGCATGGAGTTAAGCCCCCAGGAGATTTGAACCTGAAAGGTTTTAAAAGCAATTGCCTCTGGGGAATTCTTCATTATCCTTCACTGAATGCATTGTTCACTGTTAGGCCTCTAGAATCACTGCTATTTGATTATTTGGGTTTTTTAAAGCTAAGTATATACACAAATATAGATAATGTTGATTTTTAAGTTTTTATTCTTTTTTTATTTTACATTGTGTTCACTTTGCTTTCATACACAAACCTCAATTTTACTTCTTGTCTACTAAGTCAGAGGCTATATCCTATCTGGCAGTACTTTTCAACCTTAAGTCACACAGTCATGAAACAGATCTAGTGGGACATAACCAGCACCCATTTTTCCTAACGGAAATGAAAAATAAAATAGGGATATTGTTGGTGAAACTTTCATTTCAGCTATAAATGTTTAATAAAATACGTGTGCTGGGGTACTATGGAAAATACCTTCCCTATTGTATCTACTCTCAACCCAGCAGGCAGAAGTAACCCTGGAAAAACGTGAGTCACGTCATGTCACTATACCAACGGCTTCCCATTCTCACTCAGAGCAGTGGCCTGTATGGTGGCCTATAGGGTCCTTCAGAATTAACCAGCATCTCTCTCCAACCTTCAGCTAACTGCTCTGCCACCTCCCTCCAGCGCTCAGGGGCTTTAACCAGCATCTCTCTCCAACCTTCAGC